ATGGTGGTTTGTTTATTGCAGCATGAAACGTTTTTACCTGCCAGGAGTGCTTGACGTGAAGCGATTGACATTTGTCCTCAAACTGTAAGAAAGCAGTTTGATCAACTTCAACACGTTTGAAAAATGTTGCGATTGCTCTGGAAATCCGGTAGATAAGTAAAAATTCAAATGTCACGGGTTAAGGATTACAAAATTTCGAGAAAAAAAATAAACTAATAAAATGTGAATTATGTGTTATTATGATTTTTTTAATGATTAAGTCATATTAATTAGTAATTTGTGGAATTTCTTATTGCGGATGTCGTTCTCGTAGATTTTCTCATGATAAATATGTCAAAATCGATCGTAATAACATATTTTAACCAGATGCTTATAATTATCTCATAAATCTTTAATAATTTTACCTTCAAACTATGTTTTTTACATTTTTCTTTTCTGGATTGAGTTTTTTATTGGCTTTCTTGTCGGTAGCTGCTAATAATCGCCTATTAGCTTCCACTGTTTAGCCTTTTCACTCAATGCCTTCTGCATATACAGCCCGCAGTAGTCGGAATAGAATAGGAAAACAGTTTCGTATAACAAACGATCGTCCGGTTTAGGTCAAGGATCCGTAAGGCATTTAGAACGCGCGCGCGACACGATCGACAATGAATGCGCGCAAAACGTTTTGTGTGCGCTCGAAGAAGTTATGAAAACTCGCTGAACTAGCAAATCTTTCACTGCGATTGCAAATCGAGGGCTTGAGCTTGGCAGTCGCGAGCAGAACATGAAAACTGCGCACGGAGATGCAGTGAATCTAGTGCAATTCGCATATGAAAGTTGCAAAATGAACAAACATAAAGCATACACAGACGCAAGAAACACTGCCAACAATAGAAATGTCGACTGGTGCTATTTTATTTATACCCGTTGATTGGGCATGCATTGTGCGTTTGGTGAATGTTTAATAATTTGGGTTGGGATGCTCGTGCCTTGTAAATTTGCGTGAATTAAATTTCATTACTCAAGTTCATTAATCAAAAGTGCAGACTAAAGTTCATCAAAATGTGGTTTGTTTCTTTTGTAGTAAAGGTGATGATGCAATTTTAATCACCTTCTTACACCACACCCTCTGAATAGGTAGACAGATATTTTCTAAGATATTGGAGTTATGTATTGGGTTTTAAATCAATTGAATGCGAACAAAAACACGAAAAAGATTTAAGTTTTCGATACGAGAAGCGATAAATAAATGGCACGCACTAATGCTATTCGAAACGTGCAACTGTTGGAATAACCAACCAATAAAAACATAAGTGTAATGTATAACATTATGTGGTTTAATAATTCAATTCAGTTTTGATGCAGGTTTATTGAACGTGTAACAAATTTTAAAAAAATGCAATGTTGTCAGTTCTGAACGGCAACACTGCTCTACTGTCTTTTATGCCAAATTTTGATATTTTGACAGTTATTTTATGAACAATGCTGGCATACAGCACTATACTTTATGCTAATATAAATATTTATTCAAATTAATAATTTTCTATTCCTCACGCGATTTAATTACAAAGTTATGCGATTACCACATCACTACTACTTCCATATTCATATAAAGAATATATACCGATGTGTGGCTTATTGTTGCTTCACATTGTTACATATTTTATTGACTTGAAATCAGCTTAATTATAAGTATTATGAATATACTCATAGCGCACACATTTTACTGGTAATCTTGATTGACAGCTCAATTGTCTACACTCGACTCCACAATCACATACACGTACAGATTAAGTTGATAGCTGTTTGCAACAGCTTTATTTTATGTGTAGTACATTAGGCTTTTAAGTGTGTGCACAATTTGATTTGGTTGGTTGGAGTGCCCGCATGAGTTCGTAAAACTTTTGCCACGCTTTTGAAGTGTGGCACGCGACACATACGCGCGTACATTTGTTAATGCGGACGACGGTGATTGTTTTCCCTCCGGGCAGGTAATGCGCCTATATGTCGATGTGAGGAAGTTGCATAATTTTTTACTTTCTGTGTACTTTATGTATGTGTGACATTAGGATAATGCTTGGTTTTCTTTTCACTTTCTGAGTGTGTTACGAGTGTGTTTTGATTGACAACTGTAAATAATATTACAAGAATAATGTTGGCTGTCGATTGTTCTCTTATCACACTTTTTGTGTTGATTTGATAATTAACATGTAATGTTTTCTGCTGGGTGTTTTTATTTTATTTTCAAAGTGAAAGTGAAAATGTTGTAATTACTTGCATTACCGAAAACAATCATAATTGCTTCCGTAATAAGCCATCCGATAATCACTTTTCATACGAACGTGTTGATGATCTCAATATGTTACATAAATTTTCATATTTTGCTTCATAATTGGAGCACTTTTACGATTGCATAACTTTTCTGGAAAAAAATGCTCTATTGAAGCGGGTAATGGTAATAACTTTGCTAAAATTACTCTTGGAAATTAGAGAAGCAGTTATTAGTTTAATTCTGCTCTTAAAAGCGGCACAATTAACTATTATTTTCGCCGATTTACAGTTAAATGTGATTTTGAAAAACGTGTGTAATTTTATCCTTTTCCGATGCAACTTTCTGTGAAGTGTTGATTGACGATCAACACACACACACACACGTTTTGAGCAATCCGTGATGCCAAAAACGGAGCAGCAGCTTGATACTTTCTTAACATCGCAACAATGAATAATTCCGATTCGCCGCGACACTTCGAGTAACGTAATACTCTGCTGTCTGATGCCTGCCGCTTTGATACACACAGATTAACATGAAAAACATGAATCGAGTACGAATACGGATCCTCGGATCTCGGCTGGGCGAGTGTTGAGTGATGTAGTGAAACGCACGAGGAGTATTTACATGACAATTATAACCCACGCGCTTGTCTTCGTATCGAACAATCGCAAGAGCAGCACAGCACTCACTGCAAACTTACGCAATGCTCTTTTGTTTTAAAATTTTATACATAATTGTTGACTGCTACACTGAGTGAATCAAAAATCAATAAATATGCGGCTTATCTCTTTCATCAAATGCCAAAAGTGTGGAATACTCGGTAGAATTGTTAATTCTCTTGACATTTACAATAATTAACGTCTAATTTGCTTCTTAAATACGTATCTAAATAATTTCCAATCTTTTCGGCATTTTGTGATGTGCTTTACTGTTTTAATGGCATTGTTGTTGGCAATTATTTATTTTTACGTGTGATTGATAGTTTTCATCTGCCAGGCATTAGTCAATCGAGGCTGGTCTAATCTGTCGCGCGTCGATTGTGCATCGCTTATTTAATTTAACCTTTTGATGCCTTTCGAACAGCAATTCGCTTTGTTCTTTGCTGTCAAGTTTTTACAACCTTTTCTGTCGATGCGATGCGATTCCAAGAGAGTAGAATGCTGTAAAACTGTAAATGGGAGTCACGCGGAACAATTGTTGGAATAATTCAAGGTGTAAGGTTTTATTACTTTTAAATAAAACTATTAATTGTGAAATAAACTCATTTTGACAATGTGAAGTATCAGTAACATCAGAAAATTAATGATGCAAAATATTGTTGTGATGTCTCTTCATTAATATAGATTTATGACTGCTTTCAATTTCTTGTTGGAATGATACAATAACTAGCCATAAATCAACAAATTTCACACGGTAAGACACTGGAGACATAGGTGTGTCTCTGCCACGCCAAAAAACAACTCACTCACAATCGGTAAATGGATGTAATTTTAGCGCAAAGTTTAGGTCAAGCACCAAACCCGTTTGATTCCACAATAAATTCACATACATGGCAATTAATGTAGAACAGGAACAGACTTAACGATTCTTGTTCATTTCACAACATAAATTTAATAATATAAAAACATAAGCATCAACTAAACGTGTTTATTGGATTTGTGTGTTTGAATTTTGCGTGCGTTTGAGGTAAACCCGTTAAAAGTAAAAGTAGATTTTCGAATCCACATGTTATACAAATGTCAATATGGTAACATTGCCCAATTTATGCACATTGTACTAGTTTTTCTTGTGTGCATGCAGCAGACATAAAAAATACCGCATTTAAATATAAATTGCAATAAGTTGTGTGTTTGTTTACAGAAGGAAAAAAAGTGTCGATTGTGTAGACTGTGCACAAGAGTCGATGAATGCGCGTTTCCCATGCATAATTTAATGTTTCGCAGTATAAGCCTTAAACCTAAACCCATTTAAGCTTTAGAAATGCGTGAAAGAAAAGAGGCGCCGACATGCAAACAAACGAAAAACGATGGAACACATTAAGCATTACATAAAACGCATTAAAATTCCGCACATATGTCGATTGTTGTTCTGTTCACGCCGCTCAACGGTGTCAATGTGTCATTGAACATCGCCGCATATTATTCTTTGATTAGCATTAAATTGACGCCGAGGTTTTTGGAAGAATGCGTGCGATTAGTTACAATTCTGCATTGTGCATTTTAATGACAAAATAAATTTTAACACACAAAAGAACAAACGAACATAGTAAAAGAATGAAGAAGTGCTCGTTTGATATGCAAATTAATAATTGGCGATAAATTGCTGTGATGAAGTATTTGCAAGGCCATCGGGTTCGAGTTCATCTTTTGTGGCAAAGATGTTTATCTGAAGCTTTTCAGATATGAGATCAAAAGCGTAAAATTACAAATAATCTTTAATTTATACGTAATCAATCTAATAAATTATCATATTTTTCGATAGTATATTTTGGCGAAATCTAAAAAATTCATGTTTATGTAACGATTATTTATTTTGTCATAAATTGTCAATTTGTTACGAAAATTACGAATTTGGTTTGGAGGTCGACGGGTCAAAGTGCTCGAACAATATATAAACACCTTCATCGTCGTAAAAGTCACCTTTGGCAACATCAACGAAGTAAAATGTTGAAAATGCGCAGTGCGCAATTTGCAGTTGAATCTCGCATCGACGCTTGCACGCCGCCGCAAAAAGCAGACATTCTCACCTGTAATTAATAAATATCCTAGAATAATGAGCACTGTATGCACACCATGTAACGGTCTCATCTTTGCAGCTTTAAATATTAAACAACTTTAACTTTTGTTTGGGTTGAAAGTTCAAATGTTTCAAGTTTGCACTGAAAGGATGGTTTATGCGTTAATATTAAATTTTACGATTTTTAACTTGTTTTAGTTTAAATGTGACATTTAATTGATGCGGCGCGAAGTAGATTAAAGTGTGAAACTTGCACTTTCATGCAAAGCAGAGTTTGCGGTCGGCGCACAGAAGTCGACGTCGTGTTGTTTGCGGTTGGTTTTGTCTTTTGCGCGGCGGCTTTTTCAACAACTACGCGAACATCTCGTGGCGTACTGGCGTGCGCGACTTGCTCAAACCGACAACCGACTCTGGTTGAAATCGACTTCGAGGTAGAAGTTTACTTTTGCTTTTAACTCAGCTTTTGATATTACGCTGCTTGCTGGCCTGGTGGGCGCGAGCAAGGTACGACGGCGACGGGCCTTCGAACAACTGCCAAGAAGTTGTTATCCCACCAAAACTCGATTCATGCAAGTAAACGCGTTTCAATTGCTTGGTCTTGTTACTCGTTGAACAGCGAACAATAACGGCAGCGTCATCGTCTTCCGATCATCAAGATTGCTGTTCTGTAGTTTGCCGATGATGTAATTGTTTATTTTAGAACATGACAATTTAATTTAACAAAAAAAAAACTGAAAAACATGATTTCTGCGGTAAATTTTGAACCATTTTGATTTAGAACTATGATCTTATCTGGTTTATCATAGTCTATTGTTGCGCAACACAATAAATCTATAAAATATGCAAAATAGTTGAGTTGCAACATCATAAATACAAAGGTATCAAGTTCACTCTAAATTACTGAGGTGTGTACAATGATACAACTTGTGATCTTGTCAGCGCAGCAGAATTCCTTGAAATCATTCATAACAGCGAACAAAAGGATAAAATCATCACCTAAAATAGATTTCGTCCATTGTTATCTTTATTAAGCGCAAAAACAAGTTTTTAATTGTTATTTATATTTTTATAGATTGTTTTGAAGAAATGTGAAAAATTGGAGCCGAAGAAAATTGACAAGAATCTTGAGAAGAAAATCTTAAAATGTTTCAATGAGATTCATGGCAAATTGCAACGAATTGAAACAAAGTTATTGCAAGAAGCTGCTTTTTCGGTCAACGTGTCTTTGGAATCACTGCGTGACGCTGAACGCGAATTGAGTCAGAATATGGCTGCGGTGCGTGATATTATCAAAATCGGCGATGATATTATCAAGCAAAAGAAGCTCAACGCCGGACAAAATATCGATCTGGTTATGCAGCGGATGATCAACGCTGGAAAACTGCCACATTCCCTACAACCAATAGAAAAATCATCGCTTGGATCTAACAGGAAGTATGATTTACATTTCATTGTTACGAATTGTGTTTACATTTTTGACTCTTTACTTTCAGAAATGACTTTGAATTTATTGACTTTACTACTGATATGGAGTCTTATTTCAAGGTGACCAAATCATCTGGCCCGACTTATCAACTAGTTTGTGCTGATGGTTTGACAGACTCGTGTAACTCTAGCATAGTAGACGATCAATCTGAAACTTCAGACATTTCAGAAATTACGATTGGCGCTGAGCCGAATAAATCGGTTAAGATTTTCAGTGGTGCACAAGGTATAAAGAAAAGTTTGGTTTTTATTATTGATTATATTACAATTTAGTTGTATCCACAGAATTTAGTTTACGACGACATATAAACTCGAAAGAAAGTTTAACATCAATTGATGGTTCAGTTCAAGACATTGCAAATTTGTGCTTAGATGGAAATATGATGCCTGTCTCAGTTAATTTTGAGAAAAGTGAGTAAATTACATTTTTAAACACATTAACACATTGTTTTTGAAAAATACTTACAAATATATTTATACAGATGCAATGGAGAATGTTTTGGTAACGAATATTGTTTCTCCTGAGAAGTTTCACGTGCAACTCGCCAAGCACTACAGGACTATACAAGATCTGCACAAGAAATACAAATATTTGATTGAAAAACTATACGTTACTGGGGTGAATACACCGGTTGTTGGTAAGTCAATGTTCATATATTTTAAAATATATATTATCATATCATTATCTCCAGGTAAATTATATTTGGTGAAATGCTTGAACGGTATGTCCAATACATGGCGACGTGGCATAATTACGGATATAATTTCTAACAAGCAGGAGTATAATGTGAATTACATCGATTATGGAAACAATGCTACTGTGATGCTTAACGAGTAAGTTGTATATTGTAAATAAAATCTTCTTTATTATAATATAAACATTCCAGCATTCGTACGATTACTGATGAATTAGCACGAATTCCCCCGTTTGCATTCGAATGCAAATTGTATGACATTACTGAACCACCCGAAAAACCATGGACTGAAGACGATGCTACTCTAATGGCTGAAATGCTTTCTGGGTAAGTATTTTTTTCCCTATTTAAAGTTAAATCTTTATTACGCTATACTTTTTCAGTGGTAACGTGACAATGATAATGAAAAATATAGAACAATCTTGTTTTGAAGTTGATTTGAAAATTTACACCGTTACTGAAGAGTTTTACCTGCGCACTTCACTTATATTTCTGGGCAGAGCCGTGTGCAACAATGACGATGACATTGAGACGCTTGTAATTACATCTCCGTCACCTAGAAATGAAAACATGATTGAAAAAGAGGCTTTTTACGAAGAGCAGCTCAAGAAGGAGAGTTTTTTTGCGAAGATTACAAACGTGGTCGACGCCATTACTGTTTATATTCAAGATGTAAGTTCTAGTTATGAGCTTGAGTTTCGATGTTCTAATGTTTTTTTTTTTAAATTTTTAATGCTTTTCAGTTGGCTCACGATGATTATATGAAAACTCTTAAATATTCCATGGTTGATTACTATAACAAGACTGACAACTCTGGAAAACTTTACCTACCCAGAGTTGGTGCTGCCGTTGCAGTTAGAGAGGCAGTTAAAGAGGGCGAAGCACCTTCTTGGTACCGTGGTCTTATATTAGAAATTCAACAAGGTGTTGGCAAGATTAGAGTTTTGTTGGTGGATACCGGCATCGAATCAATTGTGTCATACGAAGATATTAGATTGCTTCCAAAACGTTTTCAATCATTCGCTAAGATGGCTACCAAAGTGGAACTGGTACATGTCAAATATCAAAACGAGATACAAAATCAAATCGGAATGGAATTTTTGTCGAAACTACAAAATACAAGAGTGAAAGTTCAAGTTCATTCTCATGTCGCAGATTTGTTACCGGAAGTCATATTGTTTGAGGTTTATGGCACTTATGATCACTGCATCAACACGCAGTTGGTCGAACATGCTGGTTTAAAATCTACTGGATTTATGTAAGTTTTATTTTTCAATGTAATAATGTAAGCATTCAATTTGTATGCTGTTTCAGATCAACACATTTGAGTTGGCAACACGACGAAGGACTACCAGAAGATGATGAGCCATCAATAACCAGCAATTTTTTGCATCAATCACAGGGAGACGAAGAAGACGTCAGCGACGAATGCACTGGCCTGCAGCTGGTGCCAGTTAAAGTTGTCCAGGTAACTAGTCCCGAATGCATTCATGTTCACCCTATTGAAAATGCAGAGCATATGAAGAAATTGACGCAATTGGATGTCAACTTTCAAACATACCATTCTAAACGCCATTTTGTCCCGCGCGATGAATGGCAGTTGAATGATACTTGTGCAGCATACAACAAGAAGACTAAGCAGTACTTCCGCGCGAAGATAATGCAACGATTGCCCGACAATCAATATGAGGTGATGGGGATTGACTTTGGTAACATGTTTGTGCTCACAAGTGATGCTATGGGCGAATTGTCCGAAGAATATCGGGATATTCCACCCATGGCGTTGAAAGTATGCCTGTATGGTATCAAACCTCTAGGAATGAGATGGTCATTAATGGCGACTGATTATTTGAGGGATTTGCTGGTGATGAAGACGAATATCCTGATAACATATCTGGAATCCAACAACAAAGTGTTGCTATGGATTCGAACCGTAAAGCAGGGGTTAGCACTGGAACGCACTAAGGTTATAACGAAAAACGTAAACAAGTTGGTTTGTAAAGCCGGCTTGGGAATACTCTGCAAAGATTGGTCACTACCTGTTGGGTCTTCGTCTGAGTCAACGAATAATAAGGAAGATACTGATTCGGATATTTTGCCAAATGTACATGAAGCAACTGACTCCGATGATCAGACTGAACCAAGTTTAGCATGGTTGCCGGCGAAAGCAATTACCGACAGTTTATTTCAAGCTGTTGCTACCTACGTAGACGAATCTGGATATATTTACTTCCACGACATTGTAGACGAAGCATTGCTACTTAATTTGGAGAAGGGTTTGTTTGAAAAGTTTCAGTTTATGAGGCCTGTATTGAATGTCAACTGGGCGGTAGGCGATATGTGCACTGTTAAATACCACCAGAATCAAAAGTACTATCGCGGGATAGTCCTGGAGGTAAACGAAACCGAAAATGAACTGCGTGTCCAGATGATCGACTACGGTAATGTAGAAGACTGCAACTACAATGAGGTTTGGAAGGAGGTGCACTACAAACATGTGCCACGTGTGGCGAAAGTTCTTCGCATGCACGGTGTGAACCTGAAAGGTAATTTTCCAAGTATCATCCTCGATGCACTACATTTGCTGGTTGTGGAGAAAATTCTCGATGTGAAAATTATTAATATGGCATCCAATAGACTCCCTGCTTCTGCGATGGTGCGCCAGGGTAATGTAGAAGTCAACAAGTTTGTACAACGTGAGCTAGGTGATACAATCACACAGATTAAGATTGTTAATTCGGAGCAGTCAACTAGCACTGCAAGTATGGAAAGCGACGACGATGTAATTGTGGAAGAAGTAATCCAAGATAATGTGTTACCCATCAGGGTAACAACGCTCCCGTTTTGCCATTTTCCGCTAACCACAACCTTAAATCACCAGAACCTTTACATTATAAATACGTTGCCTTACCAACTTCGGAGTTCTTCGAGGTGTCTATAATTTGCGTGCTGGGTATTAATGAAGTTGTCTTCGAATTGGTTATTCCCCAAGAAGATAACACGAAGCTTGAGGATCTGCAAAGTGACATTAATGCTCGATGGCGAGAGCAACGCGTTATGTCCAACATAGGGAAAATCAGGTATGTATTGCACGTTATGATGACGATAACAAATGGTATCGGGGCAAAACTATGAAACGCGGGGACAAAATGTTCGTCCATTTTGTTGATTTTGGTAATTTTGAACCAGTATCCGAATCGGAGATACGCGAAATTAAGCCGGAATGGTTAGACCATCCTGTCGAACTGTACGCGGCTGTATTAAGCGATTTTCGGCTTCTCATAGAAGATCATGTTTTGTTTATTGATGCTGTCAAACGACATCTTGCAGGGTACGTTGAGACCAGCAAATTGGCGACTATTACTTGTCGCCAGCCATTGTCGGTAAAATTGTTTGATCCTGTTACTAAAAAATTGGCATACGACGATTTGATTCAGAGTCATATTCTGAAACCGATTCAGTAGTTTCAACGGCGAATTCTCTAATTTTATTAGCATTAACATGATCTTTTGTCTTAGTTGTTAAATGTATTATTAGATAATATGTAATTGTTTGTACTGGGAAGAATAAAATTTGTTTATTTTGTCATATTTTGGGGCTTTAATATTCTTTATAAAGGAAATTGTCACCAACTAACGAAAGCGAAAATTATTTGAATAATTTAAATATTCCAACTTGCTGATAAACAACCGATGCCAGTAACTTTTTGTGTTACTCATACTCATGTAGAGACTGAAATGTTGCGGTACTCATTATTTACGCCAGTAGTCGTTGGTTGGTTGCGAATTTTGAAGTGCCTGGGTGTTTTCGTAGTTTTAGACTTGTGCTTTGGAACAACATTTAAGTCGTTTTATATTTTTCTACCTTTGGATATTTTCTATTGGTGAGTGTATTATTCTAAAGTTGCATAATCTGTGAACAATTTGTTGAATGTTGTTTTTGAAGTTACAATGGAAACTAACGCTTCGTTGACAGAGCCGGAAATTGAATATCCGGCTGCGGCCGATGCAAAAAATGATGAAAATGGGTGTTTATCCTCCTTCAAGCAATGCTGTATGTGGCCATGGTCACTAATCGGACACATCGCTACTGGATTTGCCACTAATTGTTGTTTGTATGGCACAAGTTGTTTATAAAACAAGGGAGTATTTACAAATAATATATCGTTTACGTTTATTTCTATGTGCTGTTCGAGACGTACGAATATATTGTATAGGTGTCATTACTTAGTGTATTTGAATCCCACCAACGAAACCTTGCACAAGGTTACCCCCTGTTAGGATGATTCATGTGCGCCCGCGTGCGCTGCAGAGCTGATCGGCATGCTGAGCTGAGTTAGTGTTTGTTCTGTCGTCCATGTTAGTAAATTGAGTAGTGTAGTGCGGATGTAATGTTAAAGTAAATCGCTGTTCTGTGGAGAGTTATGTACGTGTAAATTCAGGCACCGCGTGCGCTGTTTCAAGCAGTGGTGTAACTAGCCTTTTATGCACCCGGTGCGAGCTTTCAAAACTGCGCCCCTGAACAATGCTCTAACCAGGTTCTGAAAATAAAATGGTCATTTCTGCGCCCCTCCAGGGTCTGCGCCCTGTGCCTGGGCACTGCTGGCACCGCCCTAGTTACGGCACTGGTTTCAAGCATAGATCATATTGATGGATAACGTGATAATCTGTACATATGTGTCGTTAGAATGCACAAGCTCGTGATGTTATTTGTTTGTGTGTAGCGTTAGTGAGTGCACATGTGGTACCCAAGTTAAATTTAGAAATTTGTGAGGTGAACCATTAAACTTTGCGTTGGACTGCTATAATTTAGTAGTGGAGCGCTACCTTATAACAAAGTCGTATTCACATCAAATTGTAAGTATCAAAGTTCATTATAGTTTTTATAAATAACTTCAGCTCTTAATGATTGTATGCGTTAGCTATATTCGTAAGTAGTCAGTCGTGCGCCCTGTCCAGGTTTCGCACATGTTCGGTTCGTCTCTAATTTCGTTGCGTTACCTTTTCGCGATACATGTGATTTTGAATTCGGTAGTAGTATTTCAATATTCTATCCGCTGGTATTCGGTCAGATATCACCCGGTGACTTCCAATTGAATTTGTTTTGTTCATCTATTTAATTGTTAATGCGTGGAAATATACCACGTGATTTTACCGTGTCGCCAGCATAGCAGCAACAAACCAAAAACTTCTATTATGCTTTCAACTAAATTTTCACATGTACTCTCTTAATTACATCTTTATCCAAATAAAACATTCATTAATATATTGCCAAGCATATTTCTTTTTGTACCCCCTTTATCGTTTTCAGGATTAGATTTAAAGTCGATATATAAATGCATGCAAGGTTATACGAAAGGAATGCTGATGTTATTCTTTCACCTATTAAAAAGGTGAGAAAAACAACAATATTTATACCTGAAACGCACGTTTGGATAAGTGAGCGTTGTAGCTCAGGTGGCATGTGCATATGCTAGCATGCTGGAGGTTCATGGATCGAATCTCAGTTGCAGAGGGCAATTTTATTAAATAATAAGAAATTTACGAAATGTGGGTTGCATACCACAAAAATTCAAGATTCAAATGTTAGAAATAACTTGAAAAGCAAAGTACGACGAAGCAACAGTAAGAATAAGTAGAGAAGATGGTGGAGGAGCAAATAGAGAGCAGCAGCCAGCAGCAGCAGGAGAGAGAGTATAGGAGAAGTAAGAAGAAAAGAAGAAGAAGAAGAGAGAGTACAGGAAGAAAAAAGAATAGGGGTGACAGAATTTTTAAATTTTTTGGCACGTGTCGTTATAAGACAGTCTACTGCTTCGGTTCGTCCATTGCTCCCGGCCCATCCTACAGCTACGATGTCTCTGCGCTTCATCCCCGGAATTATCAGGCATATCAACAATTTTTATGGTGGGGGATCATCCCCAGAGAGAGGGAACTCCTTATAAGGACATCCTTTTAAGAACTTGTAAAAATATTTATAATTTTTAAGTCGACTCACGAGAGGGGACACTTAAAAATATTCTTACAAGTTCTTACCTGTAGCTGAAATGAAAGATGGAGTACACAAATCATACAGGATACCTTAACAATTTTTATAGTGGGGATCATCCCCCGAGGGGGAGAACTTCTTATAAGGACTTGTAGAGATATTTCTAAGTGTCGCTGGTCTCAGAGCCGACCACAACATTGAGAAATACTTTACAAGTTGTGATCTGTACCTGAAATGATAGAAGGATGGGGTGCACAAGTCATAAGACACAGCCATTGCCTTTAACATTTCTTTATTAACAAACTAAATACAATATAAGTTCATAACTTGTATGTTCAATAGTTACAAGACATATGACGTCATTTTAAAACATGTTTATGACCTGCATAGCCGTGCTATGCTAACGGCTGGGAAATTACCAAAGATAACACTAAAAAATAACAAATTACGCCCTGTTTTCGTATGACATCAGTGGAAAATTATATACAGGGTGTTATCAAAAGAAAATCTTCACTTGAAAAAGAAAATCCCAAGATTGCCCCAAAACAATATAATTATGATCATTTTTCGCCGAGCAATAAAAGTAATTACAGGGTGATACAAAAACAAAATCAAAAGTGAATGTTTTATTACCTGTTTTCTACTGTTTATCTAGGGGAAGTGATAAGTACGTGAATAGAAACATAATAAAGAATACAATTGCTAATAATTATAAATTTATTAAACACATTAATAGAAATACTAAATTCAGATCTCTTAAACCCAAAACTTAGCACAGACAGAATTATGAATACAAAAGCAAAAAGAAGGCACGAAAAAGTCCCGAATGAGAGCGAATGCGCAGCCGACGGAACGCGACAATATTCCAATACTTGTATTACAAAGGTTATTATATGCAAGCATGTCACCACTAGGCTATGTATTAAAGTGTTAAGTAATTTTTCTGATCGTTTTTCCTTATAAGGTGATAAATCCACATTTGACTGTTCGTCGAATTGTAATAGAATATAGTTTTTATGTTACATACTTTTTTAGGTTTTCGCAGATGAAATATTCCATACGATGCACAAATGATATTTATTCAAATTAACAATTAAATGGATACACGAAACAAGCCTTAGCCGATGGAAGATATCCGACGGCCGACGGAAAACACGTGGTGCGTACGTTGTAAAACCACGAAATTATTAGTTCCACGCGCGATAACTCATTAACTATAGGACGCACTTGTCTGTTAATTCTAAATCTTATCTTTGGTGACTGATTACAATTCAACTACCGACTTAAAATCACAAAACACGCGATAAGTCGCCATGAAGACCGCCGCGCAAGTAAACGCGTGCACACTACGCCGCAGCGCACGATCGACTAAGTAAGAAATGGAACAAACACTGTTGAGCGCATCGGATGTGCTGCAACGCAATAAAACAAGTTGTTTGTGCACTAACACCGATAAGAGCCAAGAGTGCGAACTACGAGTATAAACTATTCATGTTGTGGATACAGTTCAATACAATGAAAAGATTTTATATTCTGAACGTACCCTCTTATTCACATAAACAATGTATCCTACAATCCGAAATTGAATGCAGTCTATATGAAAAGGCAGTTTAGGAGATAATGGCAATTGAAAATCTGGGAACAACAAGGTAAATTTCCTATCTTAGCTCCTTTAGCAACTATTTTTGAACTTTTACGTCACGTAATTAATATATTTCATTATCCTGTTCTATAAAGAATTTTAGGAAGTTTTATAATCTTCAATCACGTGACGAGGGTGACGGTAGAAGTGACTCCCATTCAAGGCACCGTACGAACCTAGCGGTAGAAGTGACTCGATTCAGGGTACCTTACGAGGCTAGCGGTAAAAGTGACTAAACTACAATTCCTAGTACAACGAGTACTACGGCGCACACACACAACTTTCAATATAACTCGCGTTACGGAATTTTCTTGCATTAAATTTCTATACAGGGAGATACAGAATTAAATTCAGCATCTGGGAAAATTATTTCAAACTGACACCGCGTTCGCGTGTTATAACAAATAAACTACAAATTCGTAGCGCAACGAGTACTACGGCGCACACACACAACTTTCAATATAACTCGCGTTACGGAACTTTCTGGCAATAAATTTCTATACAGGGAGATACAGAATTAAATTCCGCATCTGGGAAAATTATTCCGAACTTATTGTAATACCGCGTACGCGTGTAACAACAAAAAAACTACAATTCCTAGCGCAACGAGTACTACGGCGCACACACACAACTACATATCAATATAACTCGCGTTACGGAATCTTCTTGCAATAAATTTCTATACAGGGAAATACAGACTAAACGTTTTAGCACGATTGGCGACTATTTTTGAACTTTTACTTCACGTAATTAATATATTTCAATTTCCTGTTCTATAAAGAATTGTTGGAAGTTCTATAATCTTCAATCACGTGACTAGGGTGACGATAAAAGTGACTCCCATTCAGGGCATCGTATGAAGGTAGCGGTAGAAGTGACTCGATTCAGGGTACCTTACGAGGCTAGCGGTAAAAGTGATTCGATTCAGGGCACCGTATGAGGGTAGCGGTAGAAGTGACTCTCGCTCAAGGCACCATACGAAACAAGCGGTAGAAGTGACTCGCGTTTAGGGCACCGTATGAAGGTAGCGGTAGAATTGACTCGATTCAGGCTACTTTACGAGGCTAGCGGTAAAAGTGACTCGATTCAAGGCACCGTACAAGGATGAATGCATATCTGACTTTCATTCGGTGCATTGCAAGAGTATAAATAAACGGGTGACTCTAATTCAGTGCATAAAATCTAAAAATTGTAAATAATAAATAATTTATTAATATCATTACCGTAATGTTCACGGCCCATTGAAGAAATGGTTCCTTGGGGATAACAGAAACAGAAACATCTGAAATAATATAAAAAAATTAATGTTTAGTTTAAAAATAAATATAAACAAGTAATCAACATATTTCAATTTTGTAGTAGCCTATTAACCTTGTTTTACATTTTAGTTACAAAAAATAGTTGTTGCGGGCTTAATTTTATAATTCGTGGGTATTGCGTAGTGGTTTTCAACCACTATTTTGGGAGATAATTCTCGTAAATAACGACGGATTGGGAATTCTAGTCGCGTTTGAGATTGAAAAGCATATTTCACTGTTAAAACCGTTAATACTGCCATTACGGCCACTTCAAATCAAAACAGAATAGGTTTTTACTACCCAAAAATACTTCCACCACCAGCAGCACCACCCTTGAAACATGTTACTATTTGTCTTCATATTCATCATATTCATTTGTTTCGTGTTACAAATAGAAAATCAAATGTGTATGTTACCTATTTCCCACTGTGTACCTTGGAGAGGTGATAGGTGCGGGGATAGAAACGTAATAAATGATGTAATTACCAATAATTATAAATTTACTAAATGTTAAAAAATTAAATTAAGCATCTAACTAAGCATCCAACTAAGCACCCAAATTACAAAAGCAAAAAGCAAGCACGAAAAACAAGACCTAATGGGAGCAAATACACCGCCGACGGAACGCGACAATATGGCAATACTTGTTTTAAAACGAAAATGTGACGACATAGCATTATTTTGTTAATAGAATATAGTATTTATGAAACACACTACCTTACGTTTTTGCAGGTAAAATATTCCACACGGGGCACGTAAGATCTTGATTTAAATGAACTATTAAATGAAAACACAAAACAAAACCACTAAGAAATTTTAGCCGACGGAAGATATCCGATACTCGATGGTAAACACGTGCGTATCCTGTAAAACGATGCAATCCTGCGTTCCACGCGCAATAACTCATTAACTATACGCGCCACTTGTCTGTTAATTCTAAATCTTATCCTATACAATCCTGACCGATTATAATTCTACTACCGACTTAAAATCACAAGAAACGCGGTAAGTCGCCAAGAAGATCGCCGCGCAAGTAAACGCGTGCACACCTTGCCCCAGTGCACAATCGACTAAGTAAGAAATAGCACAAACAATGCTGAGCGCGCCGGACGCGCTGCAACGTGATAAAACACAAGTTGTTTGTACGCCAATACCGATAAGAGTCAAAGGTGAGAACTATGAACAATTCATGCTGTGGATACAGTCTAACGCAACAAAAAAATATATATTATGAAATTATATTAAGAAAGACAATTGGTTCACTAAATGCTGGAGGTTATTCTCACCCTGTTTTCAAATTTTCCAAAAAAATTATTCATTTTTTCAAAAATGCTGAAATGTCGCAGGGGTGTGCATCTTGTAGAGGAAGTTCTCGCGTACATGCAGACAAGTACCAAATTCTAAATGATAACACAGAGCACTAGAAAATATCTCAAGATATCACGGAAAACAGATATTCAGGGTAAAACCAATAGAAAAACAATTCTGCAAACAGAAAAGTTGGCAAATATGGATGTTACGTAAAACTAATATAAAGGGTGTTGTAAAGAGAAAATCCACTCGGACTCGGAAAATACTTGAGAACATCAAATTTGGTAAAGTTTTGATCAAATCAAGAAAAATTTATATACAGGATTGGACATCCTGAAAATTACTACATCACAAAAGAAAATACCATGTTCAAGAAGAACTTGGGAACAATAAATTAGGTCATTTTTTGAATAAAAATCAAGGAAATAAATATACAAGGTGTCACAAAAAATTACTACATCACATATACATGAAAATGTCAGGTGCAAGCAGGAAAACACTCGGGAGCAATAAGAACAATAAATTTAGTCAATCTTTGATGAGAAACCAATGAAAATTAATATACAAGGTGTCTGTTTGCATCGCAAACAGATAAGCGACAGAAGTTTTCCAACTTCTTAGGAATTCTGTGTGGTGTGTTATTTAGTGCCGATAGTGCGTCGCCGCGAACTTAGACAATAAATACAATTAAGTTATACAATGGTGCAATCACAAGACTAACATCGTAATATGTATATCAACACACTTAATGTTTAGAAAGTACAGTAGTTACGTAGATACAGTAGATAGTAAACACATTCGCAGATGAGCAAGGGTCCATCACGTCACACACTGACCCTTGTGCTAACAATTATATATATATATATCGTTGTATAGTAATTAAGCTATCTTAAGATTACAAATCACGAAGGGTCACTGCCCTTAGGCAAGTATGTACGCAAAGTTTTGCACTTAGACATTTTTGGATGAATAAAGTAGTAGTTACCGAGCAAGCATCGAGTGAAGATCGCCTCACTTCTCCGAGCACCTCTAAGACTCTCCGCTGCCTTACAACCAGCGTAAAATCCACACATCAGTCCTTCTGCTCTCAGCTTTGAACCCGGCGCCATCTTCAGAGCGCACGCTGGCTTCACAGTGTCACCAAAAGGAAATTATTAAATCACCAGGGAAATGCCAAGTTTAAGGAAGAAAACATTCGTAAACAACAAATTTGGTGAATTTATGATTAAAAATCAAAGAAAACAAATCTACAGGGTGCAATAATAAAGAAATTTAATGAGAAAATTCAAAATTCACGATGAAGAACATTACAGGGTGACACAATAAAAGTACAGTTCAATTTAGTATTAAACAATAAAGCGCTAGAAGAAAAATAGAGGAAAATTTAAACAGATACCCGTTTCTTCATGGATATCAAAGATCAGTAAAAGTAAAGAAGGTAGTGCGATAAAGGTGGAGCGTCCTCCAAATAAGCCACACGCAAGCCAAAATGTACCGGAGACACGGAAAAGAAAATTTAAATCGTCTTTTATGAACATATTATATTTCTTTAAATACTTAATTATTTTCAAATTATCAACACATCAACGCGAATGCAGAATTGTGTCATCAAAAGAAAATGCAATCTGGAGTAAATATGTTGTGGGGACTACCATCTCACCATCTGGGCTATTGAATTCTTCTTCTGCATTGCATGCCATTTTCCCAAGAATTCCTAAGATCTTATTTTTACTACTTTTCCATTAGTTTACAGCCTTTTATTTTCCAACTTTCTTGCTGTCATAAACTACCCTTAAAAAACCTAATCCCCGTGTCGGACGGTTTGGCACGCGGTATCTAACGTGTTAACAGTCCGACTCAGATTCCCAGAATCCAATGGTCAGTTTTCCCTCTCTTTAATGTGTCATACACTTTCTATATTTTTTACCAATCAAAACTATCGCTTCCTACTTCCGAATTTCTTGTCACCACCCATCAACCTGAAGGGTTGCTGGTGAGTGACAAGGGTGTAGGAAGATCACTTCTTCACAAGACTTCTAACTCTACACTTCATTAACACACTTCGTAACAACACCACTTCTTAAACCGACTACGTACTAAGACTTCTTAATTATAGTTCTGACTAAACTTCTTGACCAGACTTGGCAGTCTCCACAGCGTTGAATAAACCGTAAGTCGTGATATCAAACCTTGTGTATTACTCGTACTTGTAACCACTATCACACTACACACACCGATCCCACAATGTAATTAAACCGTTGATAGGCATGAAAAAAACGCAGCCTGCACGTCACGCGTTACGCGTTTTGAGTTACAAGTATTACGAGACTCTCTTTATGTGCAATTTACGGTGTAATATTATTTATGAAATTACTACTGAATCGGGTAATCAAAGAAAGTACTAAAACAAAAAAAAAACGTGTTGAAAGTATGCCCAAATTCCGTGATAGCGATGAATTATACAATTTTTCTAATTTTTTCTTTAATATTTAAAAATCACAGTAATAATAAATAAGAAACTTCGTTCCAAAACTAACAAATCAACAATATTTTCATCCCTTTTTATTATATCCCGATATTACCTAAGTGATTTAACTTCTAGAGCTATTGCATCAGCCGCATCAAGTTCATTGCAGCCTCAAATTCCACTCGTGACCAAACAGAAGCAAACATCAACTTCACACTACGAAACATCTACTCGTACCTACACGCCGCACATTCAACTGCTTGCTGTGAGGTGCTACACACATCGAGAACTTTCTACGCTCGACGATCCTCACAGTGCAGTGACGTCGTCGCATCGAACCGCTACGATTGGTCAAGCCTCCTGCTCCTTCAGTCCTGCAGCGCGCTTCCAGAATATTCCACGTGGTACGCCCAATCGCGTTACACCAGCTGGTTTTGAACGCGCGCCAACTCGACCGACTCGACGCAAAAACAAGTTCGAACGAGTCACAACACAACAAATCCTCACCAAAAAAACACAACAACGCACCGGCTACTGCAATTAAGTGCTTCCCTAAAATCCATTTTTACCTCAGACCTCCATCCAGTCAGATCATTCACAAACCGCACGTAAAACGCACAACAAACACAAAAGTGCAAACGACGAGCGTTCGTTGACTGGGTATTAAAATTTTATACAATACCGATTCACTTGGCGCATTCACAGTGTGTTTTAAAAATAGAAACGGCAAGTCATCGATGTGTTTATAGTTCAATGTTTGTGTTATCTCACTAATACCATAGAGTGAGATTAGTAGTTCAAACAGCACTTTTTTCAAAATAACATATTCCTGTGTAGTGTATCGCATAGAGTGTGTGTAACAATTGCGTGCGCCTGCAGGAAGTCGAAATATCGAAGTTAAAAGATATGCGACACAACAAACAATCGCTTTCATTGATAGAGTGTTTCGTTTGGCGAGAGTTGCGGGGGACTGGCCGGATTCGCACGTTTCGAACGCGTGCCGCGTTCCGCAGGAATTGCACAACATTTTGTAATTCGAGTGTAAAAGGCGCCGAGGTGATTTGGACGACCGGAAATTGAATCTCGTGAAACTTTTATTATCTCGCCAGAATGTAAGTTATCAGCTAATACAATTTCATATATTACTAATCAAATAATCGATGACTTAACGCAAAATAAACAAAAAAAAAATCCAGAATATTCTAGAATATTCAAATTTGTCTTCTATAAACTTAATATTTATGAATACACCTTCATAAAATGTTTCAATTTAATATATTTTATGAAATACACCAACAACTTGTTGATATTTGCAAAGTTTTAGCGCAAAACATGGGGAAATGAATCATCTAATTGCGACGACGCCATTTTGTGCTATGTGTATTCCCTGCGAGTTTTGCAATTGTCATTTGCCGGTTGTTACATTTGAGTAAAATTATATAATTTTCATGGTAATAATTGTTCGCCAAGCATCGTTCACGCTGGAGACTTGCAAAAACAAGTCGATTATCGGTGAGTCACGATTTCCACGAAATCGTCTCCCTCCTGCCACGACCCGCTCTCTAGCGCCTTTCCATTGGCCGTTGATGACGTCATTGATTACAATGAGGACGACTGCCGCGCGTTTCCTGCGAGTTGAATCGAGACGCGAACAGTGCGCGCTTTGCGCAGTCTCCGCGACGCTTATAAAAGCTCCTGCAGCTATACGCGGCCCGCGACTATTTCACAATTTGTGCAACCGAGCGCTTTAGTGTTTCCTCTGCGACCGGGTTCCAACCTCTGCTGTGCTCCAAGGGTTTCTAAAGCTTCTAAGTAATTCGGAGTGCCCACTGCACTCCTGCGGCGCTGTTAAAAGCGAGTGATTTTTCTTGTGGCGAGTGCCCTAATTGTTTTTGCGTGAACTGGTGCTACACAGCGTCAACGTTCGAGAGTAAGTTCATTTAATTCCTATTCACACCAAATAATGTTAAAATATAGCTTAAAAGTCGCAATTTATCGATTTTCTCCACTGCGAGGCAGTGCCATTACAATATCGATCGCTACATTTTAAGTAGGACGTGTGGGATTCCCGCTATGACGTAGGCAAGGCGCGTGACCTTGCAGTGGTAGTCGACATGTTTCAACAAGTTTAGACTTGCGCGCGGCAGGTCGATTCCTGCTCTAAGCCTCGACACTGTTGGCAACTGTGCGCTATCGAGAGCACTTTCTCTTATCTCTCATTATTACGACGACCTCGATGTGAGGATTCGCGCGTTGATTTTGTTGAGTCACGCACTTTGCGCGTGCTGATAGGTAGAACAAAAAACAAATGCCGACGCACACCGGTCGATGTGTAGTCGTTAGCCGCTAGTTGAACTCGTTCGCGGGGGGCCACAAAAAGGTTCAACGCAGCGCGCGCGCGAGAGTTTTTGCGGGCGCTTTGTGCGCGAACGCGCTAAAATTAGTCGTGTTTACTTTGCGATAGTAAAGTGTACAGACGTTTGTTTAGGTTATCAGTATTTACATAAATAATTGAGATATTTACCGATTTTTTTGATAACATGAGATATTATGAATGTTTTTTATATAGGGATATTTTTGTTCAAAAAGTAAAAAAATTATTCTGCGTCGAACAAAATATTAAAAATAATATGTAATAGAGTTGAAAAGAAAAATCGTTATTGTACGTTAAAATATGCAATTTTAAATAAATTATTGATTAATTAATATATTTTGTGACTTTGATTTTGCAAAATTGCGATAAATATTGTATAATCCATTAAATGTTTTGCTAATGCAATAAAATTTGGTTCCAGGTTGAGAGTTCAGCACGCTCAACTCTTCTCTTGGTGAGATACTAAAAGTCAACATTTTTACAAAAACCTTCGGCGAACATATTGTAAGTGCAAATGCAACTATGTCAACCCTCTACGGTAAGCCAAAAAACACACCGATTCTAAAGGGATTGCGTCCGACTTTACAGTACCGTTCACCATGGCCGTACCCGCAATCTACGGACTGTCTTGCGCTTCGTGGCGAGAACACAACGACCAAATCGGCAGGATCAACCAGGCGATGATCAAACTGGAGATCGCGGACCACGAGGATCTGCGCTATTCAGTCGATCCGCACCTTGTCCAGCCGACGCTCGAGGATCTGCTAATCGAAAGAGTAATTATGCCTTTCTTGATTTGTCGCGCCCCCACCACCCACATCGTACTCGTATGTGCACCACATGCGCAGCTTGCACTTGAAAATCTCTAGGTAGGAAGTCGAGTATTAATTGCGAAGTGTTTCTTGTTTCGCCCGCAGAATTCGGAGAGAAGTTGTTCAGCGAGCCCGGAGGACGTGCAGCCGTTACCAATCGTGGACGGCAGCGTCCAAATGGAGCATTGTATCAATTTGGATTTGTATCTGGCTCCGATACGCGACACGATGGAATCTTTCTATACAGATGAACTCGATACGCCTGATACATTCGGTAATATGCAATTTTTATTCTTTTTGCAGCAAAATTTCATATTAATATTTAATGAAATTTAATGAAAGTGGAACAAAGTTTTCATTTTATGAATTTATTTCATTTTTGAATTTTTAAAATATTTTTGAACGGCTTTAACTAATTTTTAACTGTTTCGAAAAAAAAATTTATGCTGTTAAACAGCTTTTATTCTCCTTGCAAGACAAATTTTAAACTTTGACTTAAAATTCAACTGTCAAACTCTGATAGAAATTTTTATTGAAACTAGAACTTTGTGTTCTTTGAAAAAAGTTTGCATAGAATGAGAAATTATTTAATGTTTAAATTTTTAAAATAATTTTAACAACTTTTGATTCTTTTTTATGTTAATTCGGGGAAAGTTAATGCTGTTTGAGCAGCATTTGAATTTATTTAATTATTGAAATTTTTAAATAATTTTAAACTTAAATTGAATTCCTTTACTGATTTGGGAAATGTTTCTGTAGTTTCAGCAGCTAGGAATGATCCTAATAAGATTATAAATACTACAACGCATCAGAAGCAATCGGATGGCAATCCATTCAATTTTTCAACAACTGCAGCACAGCCGATCGTAATACCGACGGCAAAATCAGCAACCAGCATAATCGAATCAAAATCAACAACCAAAAGTATTCAGAACACAATGATTAACTTCACATTCGATACCGAAAACAGTAAAAACCAGATGCCCGAATCATACGAGAGTATGGCGGACCCCTGGTCCAACGCGGCCGACGGGTCCGCCGACTGCGGCAGCCTGTTGTCACCCAATCACTTTGATTCGGCGGACATCAATATGGAGGAATATGATTTCCTTCTCGATTGCCAAGATGCCATCGACGCCGACGTCGATGACGCCAACAACGCGAGCAACTCTATGGATTATAATAACGCTACGCACGCCGCGCCTATTGAAGCGGCGCATACAATCAACGAGCATCACAACTATGCGCTCAACACACTCAAGTTAAACATTGATCATTTGGCTAACCTACAGCCCCAAATGGATGTCTTACAAACGCCCGACATCATTAGCACGATACTACAATTTGAAAATCCTTCAAATCTGAATAATATTCATGTTAAGGTAAGTTTACGAATTTAAACAAAAAGTTTTAAAATAAAATTTACAAATAATTTTGTATTTTTGTTTACAGTTTGTATCAGCAGAAGAAATTAAAGAAGAACTCGAAGAACTGGCCCTGAGTCCCACACACTCTGATAATTCTCCGCAGCCACAAACACCTGATACGTACGCACAAGATGACGAATCTTCGATGCAATCGTCCATTGCGTCCACATCAACTGCTGCCGTAACAGTGAGAAGTAATCGCGGGCGCCGACGGAAACAAGTTTCCGATGATGAGGAGTACATCCCGCCTGAGAAAACCGCGCGCAAAACCACCAAGCGACGCGTCAACCTCCCCATCAAGGTTGAAGACTCAGACGAGGAGTACACCCCGGCAAAGATACCGAAACGCGGACGCCCTGCGAAACCGGTCAGTGCGCGGTCGTCAGAATCTTCCGAATGCTCGAGATACCGCGAAATGCGCGACAAAAACAACGAAGCATCGCGACGCTCGCGGCGGAAACGCCGCCTGCAGGAGCAGACCATCGAAGAAGATTGCGAGGTGTTAAACGAGAAGAATCTACGACTGAAGGCGCAAGTCTCAGAGTTAGAAAACTCAGTAGCGGTCTACCGCAATAATCTGATGAAACTTCTGCTGAACAAAGCTTAACTTGATCTTATCTCTAAAGTGTTACAGTATCTCAGTCCACCAGTAGTCGTGTGTGATCACGTTTTGCATGCACTGTGGGGCATACAATGTTTAATTTATTAATGATGAGTCTAACTCAGAGTTTAACTCATAAGAACTAGGAAAGAAGCGCATAGTTTGAGCTGTATAATACTTAACCAACTATTATATTACAATGAAAAAAAAGCACAAAATAAGTGAGAAGAAAACCATAACAAAAAAATATGTTTCAAATTGGTTAAGGGTTCAATTATACTGTGAGTGTTTTCTTTTCGATAATGCGTACTTTTACATTTTATAAATGTGTTATACAGTTGTGATGATTTGTTGATTGTAATTAATTATAAATGCATTTAGTGAGTGGAGAAATGCATTTAGCATATAAGTTTTGTTTACCAATTTACTTATTGAGATGAAGAAGTTTAGTGAGTAGAATTAAAATATATAATCAGTTAAATTTTATTAAAGATACAATTGATGTTTTAAAAACTAGTTTTAGTTTGATTTTTATATTGTTCGTTTCAAGTTTGCAATGTAACATTTACTATCCGTATTAAAGAAATGTTCGTAAACAACAAAAAAACAAAAACATGCAGCGTATATTTTGCACGAATTGTGCCACGCAACTACCTCTATCGCTTCCAATAGTAACCACCAAGAATATCATAAAACATGCGTAAATAACCTGAAATTCCACTTACATTAAATAAACTGCATTTTCTTCCTGGTTGATTGATGGATAAATCCTCGTTCCATGAAGTACACAACCATTTTTCACATAATTCACTTAAGTCCCGATACTCGGTACTTTAGATTATTTAATTCAGCACCGGCACTACCCGCATTCCAACTGTACGCGCCGCGTGTTCTCAGTACCTGCAATTTAACGTACGTTATCAAGATTTCAAATCACAAACAAGTTACCAACTTATACACAGAAAAGTCCTAAATACCACCTCCAACATATGACAGCAGACAACAATATAACCTACAAAAACACATAGATGATCTACAAATTTCACAAATTATTTAGTTAAAATGGTAAATACGCTTACTAATTATGTATAAACTAAACAATACTAATTTTATACATTGCAGTCTGCATTATTCAACTTCCAAAGTTTACTGACTGTTCTCCTATTGATGATTTGCACCTGTGCATATCTACGTTCACTATTTCCTAGCATAATTGACCGCAGTAAAGTCGGGTAAGCATAAACTAGATAAATATTGAAATAAAATTAAATATTGGTTTAAATCATAGCGTCTCTGGAACTTTTTGGAAGTTTGCACGCATTGGAGAACGAAAATCGCCGTACATTGCAGCAAGTTGTCTCATCATGGCATTCTCATTGTTATTTTTATCATAAAACTTGTATCAGTTATAAATTAATGTAAATAATATTTAAAACGCATTTATATAAATAAAAACCTACTAAAATTTAAAAATTCTTATTTAAGTTGCGTTTTTCATAGGAGAATCAATTGTATTCAATCAATGTTGTTTTGATTTCATTTTCATTTACACAAAAAGTAATAAGTTTCATATACAAATAGAAAAATCCAATAATTTTCGAAGGGGGTAAATGCACGATTTGTAAATACCTATTACAAATTTCTATGTGTATAATAAATGTGTATATCCAATAAAATATCAATAATCAAAAACTGCTCAGTCAAATGCAAGACAATCGCCTGATGGAACATGAAATTTCACAACTTTAAGTTCAAATTACTTTGATGCGAGCAAAAATATTCGTGACTCGTTTCGTCAACCATGACACAAAACGCAATAAATGCATAATACTACCACTAATAATAATAATACATTATATTCATTTGTATTAAGACTAGTAAGCAATGAATGTATCATCTCATTTATGATCTAATGATTTTTATCTCCGTTACGTTCCGCGATCGCTTCTTGAAATGTTCTACATAACATTCTGATATATAATATAAATTTATATATGTACCACACACGTAATAATTTATGTATAATTTGTATGCCTCATAATCACGAGCGCATCGTGATGCAAACGCTCGAACAAAATCAAATACTCTTACTCATTCGTAATGTACGCACTTCACTATATTCTACAAATGGCTAATAAGCAAACCTACTTATTGTTACTGACTTAGACGATGACGTTTTTGACATTTCTTTGTGTTTATCGTGTGTTGTCTGTATGTATACGGTGAAAATCGACACAAAAAATTATGAATGTGAATGTTTTGATTATTTGGCAATTGTAAATGGTAATTGAGTGTGTCTGTTATGTGAGTGCATTGTCATATGGCCATTCTTAACACCTTGAGCCGAGAAACGCTCACTTTAAGTATAATATTGACATATTTACTGGTGCAATTTTGTTCTTTGTTTATAAAGGCTACGAACAAGTTAGAAACGGTAGAAAGATCACATGTCGCAGGATAAGTAGGAGTAGAAATTGGCGGATAGTCGAAAGGAGGAATACTCACGCACGAAGCGGATCACTATCTGATCATCTCCATGTACTTCTGCTTGTGCTTTGCTAGCATGTCGGTGACGGTGACGAGTGTTTTAATACTCGGATTTACCTTGGCGACCGCCTGCAGCTCGGCGAGGTGTGCGACGCATATATGATGTAGTGTGGCGAGTTCTTTCGCCGTGTCCGGTTTGGCTGTGATGCGTGGTTCCCCGGGATCTGCGACGCCGGACAATTGATCCAGAAAGACTACCATGCGTTCTTTGTTTTTTAGAATAAAAGGGTTTACTACTTCCATGTAAGGTTCCTGATTGAAATAAAATTTAATTAAAACAGATTTAATTGTATTTAATTATGTTTTTTACCTTTCCACCAAATTCGACGAGATTTGCCAAGTTTTGTAAACATTTGGCAACCATAACCAAACTTCTTGTGGCGGCGGGACTTGGCTGTTCGTTGACTAAACCAAATTGACGCGGATTGAGCAGAGCCGGGCATAAAAGCCGCAAGAAAATAAATCCTGACACGACTCTTGTGCGTACGAATCTTTCATTCGGCCATTTTGCCATTACGCTTTTTTGCAAACACCCGCAGATATACCGTACAGACTTAGGACAAGCTTCCAGAGATACAAATATACTGTAAGTTATCTAAAACAACAACAATAAATAAATTTATTAAGTAATTAAGGTTAGAACAGTACCTGATCAAGTATTTCCAATAAAAATTCAGCATTGTTGCAGGCATCATCCGGAGAATCCATTTTAGTAGGATTCAATTCAGCACTTTGTTTACTTTCCAACAAACGCAACACAGTTTCCAAAACGGCCGCCTGTAGAAACCCGCCGCATTCAGCGCGCATGTAAAGATCCATTAAAGTTGTAGGCAGCGACGCAGCGCGGAATAACGTCGATGTTTCCGACTCTCTTCCAACTTCCGCGCAGTTTAACTCAACAAGCAGCTCAGTTTCGCGTCCTTCCGCGCGGAATACCCTCAACAAAGCCGTTGCAAGTGGTGCTCTGTCATTATGACAAACCTCCGCCAAAGTTTTCACTGAGGCCAAACCCGGCTCCAGGAGCAACTGCTGTAAAGGACTATACTCCTCCGCCGGCATGACTAAATCATGCAAATAACGCGTCCGGAGTCTTAGCGATCCCCACTCGCCAATCGGAGTCAATCCGGAAAGCGAGTACCACTCCTCCTTCTCTTCGCCGTTGCCCAAACTGAGCAGGTCGATGTGCAGTTCGGCGACTTCGGTGTCCTTACCGCGCTTACCTTTGTTGTGCACAATGAGCGTAAACGAAACTATATCACATGGCACGTCGCTGCAAGCAAATGAGAGCGTGAATGAAATGACACAGCCGCAAATTGGCGAGATAAATTCGCGAAACGTGTAAAGGTCAAGTGCTACTTACTCGATAATGAACTCCTCGTCCCACACCGGATCCGGGCCCGACTTGACACGGGTGCGCGCGATCCGCACCTGATTATTCAGCTGCAGCGTGACGTACGGCTGTGGCACAAACTTGAATGGCAGCCGGTGCGCGTCCAGCACGTGCAGCGTGAGGCATCGTAGTTCGCGGAGGCGCGGCACCTTGCAGGTAGCGCGGCTTAACTGTGGCACGCATAGGGGTTTCAATGCGTTGACCCATTCCTGACAGTCTTCGATTGATGGCGCTGCGAGATGTGTTACAGTCGCCAGACAGGGTAAAGCGCGTTCGACGATTTGCAGGCAATGTGGACGTTCCCACAATGAATCATGCACCTTGAGATAAAATAAAATAAACTTAAATTTCGTGGAAAAAATATAAAACTTACCTGATATAAATATGCGCATGACAAATCAATAAGGCCTTTTGGTTTTGTGCGTTTAGGATTTTCGTAAAGATACAAATGCGTATCGGTGCCGTCCACGAGGAGAACAAAATACAATAATTTCCACTTTTTCGTAACCTTGTCTGACTTTCGATGAAGATATCCTTGGTGTTTAATGCCACGCATCTTTTTCAGGCCAATTTGATCACGACATTCGCGCAGAGTTGCGTAGATCTTCTCTGCTTCCGAATTTATGTTTGCGTTTTCAGGCACCCAATCAGTTGAACCATCCACAACAAGCTACAACCATAAAATAAAAAACTATTCCTGTAAAATTTAAGTATTTTGATTAAAATACTTACAGGATTCATGAGCGTATAACCTTCAACAATCTGTTCCTTGCGATATCGGTTGATTACAGCGTCTAGACACTCAAATATCCGCCCGCCCATCAAATAACGCACGCCTTTCTTCTCTATCCGAAAACGTTGAATCTGATTGTTGATGTGGAAGAACAAAGAGTAATCACCAGGTGAATTATCGCTGGGACGCACTAGAAAACTACCTGGCCCAGCTAAAAATAACAATTTTTGTAATTTAAACAATTTAAAAGTAAAATAAACATTTTTTACCTTTGACAAGAAGATCAACAGCCTCATTTTTAGTACAATTTGGATGAAACCAAGGAAAAACCGTATTCGGATCAATACTATCATCCAAATCTTCCACCAATTCCCTGAAAATCATCCCTTGCTCACCAGTCCGATGAGCAGTCACCCACAGCCAACCATCACCCATGTCATTGTGCACAAAAAAGATGTCACCTTTCTTGAAAGTCAACTCATCAGTGTCTGGCATTTTGGTGTACGGTAAAATAGCCACTACACGCTATAAAATACAAAATTAATGCTATTGAGAGTTAATATTTAATGTATTTATTACCTTTTTGTCATTGACTGGTTCAGGTGGTGGTACAGGATGCACCAAACGTTCTCTCTTGAGAAGATCACTACAACTAGTGTAATAACCGACTAAATCATTCAACGAATCAAACTGTCTGCCACCGATGTAAAAATCACCGCAAACAGCAGTAATCCGAAAGTGGTTTATACCGGTGCGTCCAAGGTAGGAAAGCACATAAGAACCGGGCTTCCTGTCGCTTTCCCGTACAAGATAACTGCCCAGTTTTGACGCCTCCCAGAGTCGTTCTTCGGCTTGATAACGGTCCAGACGACCATGATACCACTGCGTTTCCGACGGCGCGTGTGGCGCCGCATCTCCTAGGTCCGGTTCGTCCACGTCCGGTTTCGCCAGCGTGTTGTTTTCCGGCTCGTTTCCATCTTCACTGCCGGTGCTAGGCGAGCCTAGTTTATCTTTGAGAATACCACCGCTCTGGCAGCTGTTTGTCCGTATGAGATCTGCCATCGTTGGAAGCAGACACAGGAATCTTCACTTGACGATTATTCGCACTTATCAGTGATTCATACCCGGTTTGGCACTAGTGCTGATAAGAGAACAGAAACACAATTGTTAGATGTTGAACAAACACGAATCGCAAATAATAAAGTATGAATGCTAGACGAAAGTTGGCCGACGCCACCGAAGGAAAGTTGATGTTGTCAGATGTATGTATAAATATGTGTTCGTAAATGAATGAGTGAATGAGTCGTCCGGGATGCACGTCGCACAACGCGCGTGCGGCGTGCTTGTGTCTGTGTGTGTGTGTTTTGCCCGACGAGAAGCCGCGACCGATACACACGGCTTTGTTTACCAACTTCGGCGTCTCGATAATTAAAACGCACACCAGCAATACTCACGATTACAATGCGAATGCGTCGTCCGTTCGCACGCCGTTGCTGCGGAATTTCGCTGGCTGCTTTCCTAGGTATGAAGAGTGTAAGTTAAAAGTGTAATCCGCGTTTGTTTTTGCACAGCCGTGGGAATCTCGACTCAGAGAGTGCCCATTGTGTTGTCTTCGTATACGGTTTTCCCTCGAACGCACAAGGGCAAGAACGAAAGACGACGAAACTTGGTGAACTACCCAGCGCGTTCGTTGGATGCACGGCAGCACACAGCGCGGACGAACCGAAGAGGCTAGGATATTGACGTTTCCTCTGCTGTCTCGACTGCCTCTGCTGCTGCTGTGTGAAGCGAGCGACGGCCAGCGACTCTGCTCTCCGGCGCTTTACGCACAGACTGCACATGCATACAGCGCACACACACAGCAATCACATTCCCCCGCTTGCGATTTACACAAACACAAGGTTGTAAAAGAGACATGAAATGTGCGCGTGTGTGCGTGTTTTATTCCTGCTGCGATTGGAGACGCAACGAATCAAATAAGAGATGAGTAACATGCGCAACATGTATTTTTCAGAAGTTGTCGTTACGCTAGGCGCAAGTTACTGTTTATAAATTAACAACAATCAGTATCTAATCATGATTCTTTCAATTGTTAATAAGTTTTTGCTATTCAAGCTCGAAAATCACCTTTGTCAACTATTAAAAATAGAATTTAGAAGAGAATTATTAATGTCAAACTAAACCGTGTTGCTTTTGTGTATATTATTGTGTTTATTTTGTGTATATTTTTGTCACTGTTATCAAACTAAGTAACAAAACATTGAGCAAAAACCACAACTGATAAAACTGTAAAATATTGTCGGCGCATTTGCACCGCTTGATTATTTTAACTCAAAAGTGCATTGCAGTGCCATCTCGCGGTGCTTTAAACAAATTGTCTTGCTGTTGTTCATTGCAGTTACCACAAAACAAGAATTATTATAATAAATCAAATAAATGCACCCAGAACAACATAAAAATAATATTTTAGGATTAAAATAAGGATAAAAAGAATTTTTCTTGTTGTCGGTTAATCTTTTTACTGTTTCAAATTTATATATGGCAGTTTGCTTGTATAATTGGTATAAAAAGTATGTAAAATTGTTGCTTGCAATTTAACATATGCCATCAACGTGACCACGCCGACGCTACATCCTTTCGCGTTAATGATTTATTTTTGAATTGTTAGTTACGTTAGTAATTAACTGATATATAAAAATTCCACCAGACCTTCCATTCCTATCCATTTTACAAGTGTTACATTTTATCTATCTGTTCATGTTTTGTTTCCTTTGATATTTGTATATGTTGTATATAAATATCGGTTATGTACATTTATTATCCATAGAAGTGATGCGCTCCTCACTTGATCTACGTTAGTATCGGTTATTATTATCGTAATGCATTTGTTTGACCAGAAATACTCTTTGAAACACAGACAATAAACAAACGAATCAAATAAACAGCAAGCCCGCGCTTTGGATACGCATTCGACTTAGATTAGTACAAATTTGCGAATACGTGTAGCATAAATATGTTATATGTTATTACAGTAACAATTAGAAGCACTTGTTTTATAGTCCCGTTATCAATTTTACAAATGTCGTAGCCTAGCAGCTAGGTTATAAAACGTCGTAGCAAAAGTCGAAAACGAAATTTTGAACAGATGACAAGAGAAAGCGTCCCTGATAGGCGTTAAAAGACCGTACAAAATGTTTCATTAGTTTTCGCATAAAATCTGCATTAAAATGCGTACCATTTCTTGATTATTTACAATAAAGCGAGCAATTTCCGTGTTTTTGGAAAGTGCCTTTCGTTAAATTTAAGATAAATAAACTTCAATTTGCTTACATTTAAAAGTTTCAAATGAATTTCGCGCAAATAACAACGATTAATGTTCTGTTCAAGATAAATAAATTAATTCTATATACAGTGCATTCGCATACGCTCCGCATCGTTCTTTACTTTTTGATTAATAATATGTTTTGTTTAAACGTGACTGCTTCTTCATCCACTGCAGAAGAAACGTCACGCAACTTTGGTGTCTTGTGTTCATCATGTTATCATAACATTCATGATAGTTAAAGCGGCTTCAATTCCAATTTTGTCCCAAAATTGACGAAACATTTGTGAATTTTTCAACAACGAAATTATCTAGGAAACACTTTCAGTGCCCAAGCTGTTGCCATGCGCCATGTTTGAATCCAAACTGTTGCAATCCGAGTCATTCGAATGGGGACTGGAATAATTCGCCGCTTCCTGCAACCGCATAAGCATGTTAAGCAGTGGGTCGCCATCGTTTTCCGCTTGTGTCGCAGGTCCTGTCTCCAGACCAACATCCTTTGCTGGAATACTTGTTAATCCTTGCGGAGGTGCACCTGGCCATGGATACGTATCTAATACAAATTGTGTTGGGTCTTGCCATGGTGCACGTCGGCCATAAAGTTGTAATCCTTCACGTGCTGCTTCACGTAAATACGGAGCCAAGGAATAGTTCCAGACATCTGCGAACCATGCACGAGCTGCGTCCAGTTCCAACGGACAACTTAAAAAGAGACGTGGGCCAATTGCGACGTCCCCGGAGCTGTGTGTTTCGAGGAAAGCGTTTAAATGCTGCCAGACACGTGGAAGCCAACCTAAAATGGCCGCTAATTCTGGTTGTGGACCTTGGTCGAGTTCCAAAGTAGCTAGACGACGACGCAAAACACGACCAAGTAAACCACGTGCTGGTTCCATATGTGGAGCAACCAGTACCCAACGGAAACCATGTTGAAGTTGAAGACTTGTGGCTGAACATGCGGATTGCGCCATTGTCCCAATCAGACAAGGTAAATTACGTGGAAGAGAACCCAATGCATCAGCAAGTGGTCCTGCTTTATGCAAATTATCCAAGACGACTACGCATGGAAGCATACTAGTGTCACCTGCTGCAGCCTGTTCACTCAAGTGAGCTAGATATTGACGAAGTTCTTTTGCTGATTTATTATCCACACTGCAAAAATAAAAAAATGAATTTAGCAAAGAAAACATGAAATAAAACACTAATAACCTACTTGAATGTAGCAACTGCTTCAGCAGGATCCCTCCCTAGACTCTGCGCATGGAATTCAGCCAACCTCGTCGCTAAATGTGTCTTACCCGTGCCAGGCGCACCACATAACACCAACCTCCTATGCTCAGCAAGTAAAGATACCAATCGTTGCGCAACACCTTTCGGAATCAACGCTTCAAAACTCAAAGCAGCCACAGGTTGTAACACCACGTGTAATGTTGTAACATGTCCAACAACATACCCAACTGGTAACAAATCAGGCGGTGCTGAATCACTGGCTCTTTCAGCTTCTCCCAACTTATACAACGCTACAGAATCACTTCCAAGGCCAAGTCCACCTCCGGGATCCAAACGTGCGACATGTTGTTTAAACGCTCTACGTACAGCATTATCTAACTGTCCCCAGGATGTTGCAGCTCCTACACTCGTATGAGCTATAGCAATCTCAGTTGTGGCATTGTTACCATCGCCGTCATCTTCGTAATGCTCAGCGTAATACTTTTGGAAGGTAGTTGGTTGTCCCAGATAAACAGAGATTGCGATACGTTTACCATCGGGTTCTACTTCAGTGGGAAGTTCTTCAGTAGGGATGAGGTCACTTAGAGGGTCCATGGAATTACTGGTAATGACTGCAGAAGGGATATTTCCGACACTGCCGCTGACCATGCGTTGGAGGCGTTCATTATTTTGTTTTAAACTTAACATTTCACTCTGAAAATTATGAAAAATTATATATTTTTGTATAAAATTTGTTTAAGTAGTAATTCTTACCCTCATTTTCATGACAGTGTCTTTTAGACTTTCCAATTGATGCGCTGAAGTCAAAGCTTCAAGTCGTATATCAGTCAAAACAAGATCTTTCTCTCGTAGTTGTTTCTGAAGATCTTGCACTTCCTGTCCTTGATCCACAGCGGGTTGTTGCGGTGGCGGACTCGCATGGTGTTCGTTTCCACCATTGGTATCATTTTGGCATTGCACTTTGGTGACTTTCGCATTGCGAGAAAATGCTTTCGTAAAAGAACTCCGCAACTGTAATTAAAACCACCATGTTACAACACAACATAATAATCTTGTCAACAACATCATTAAACATTAGAAAGTCTCTAAGCACACACAGCGATTTAAATCTAAAAAAGCCTCAAAAAGTGTCAACGCTCGAAATAGAAACATAAAAATCCAATTTGCACGCCTCCGATTTTGTGAAAACAACGCTCTCGACTCTCGAGAAACAAATTGAAGAAGGAGGTGGATCAGATAAGCCGATTTAACACCCAAGCCGCGCTGCTCCTTCTGAACCACTCAAATAAACTCCAAACATAGCACACAGCCAAGTCTTACTACGACTATCGACTATCGGAAACAATAGGACAGCGCATTGAAAAACAATTGTGCTTCACAGGCAACTTTGTAAGCGACGAATAGGGAAAAAGCATTGCTCACAGCTTCAACAATCTATAAATCACCCGCCGTGCGGCAGAGTGGAGTGCTCAAATCAAATAAATTGTATTATAGAAAGAAGTTGCCGAGGAGAGAGGACAATGCCAAAGTGGCAAGATGCAGATAAACAGTGAAACAGACCCTGACATTTTTTACTTTGCAAATTTATAGAATAAAAATAAAGCAACTTTCGCCGAGAATAGAAACTATGTACTCACCCAGCCCTTTTTCTTCTTTTTATCTTGCTTATCGAGACTGCAGGCGGACGACAAGCTGGAGACGCTGTCAGATGATGGTTGGCGGGCGAGCCCGGTACCAATACCCGCCTGCAGGCTCTGAGCTCGCAGTGACTCCATCGCCGCCTTCAACTCGTTCAATTCCGAGTCCTTCTTCTCTGAAGTGGCGGTTATATTCTGCAGGCGGTGCGTCATCGACGACAAACTCTGCTCGAATGCGGACACGACATGTGCCTGAAACAAGAGAACATTTCAATAGAATAACAGTAATTCAAAATACATAAACTGTCCAAACGTGTTTCCGATTGTAAAAGACACCGTAAAAGTCCGCAAAACTAAAATCATCTCGAAAATATCGCGTAGAATGAATGAAGCAAGAATTTTTGCAACTTTTATGACGTGATCAGCGCCACAATGGGCATAAACTCGTTGTTGCAGTGCATACAAATTAGAAGCGTCACATTCCGTATGCGAAACGTCCGTTTTGAAAGAGTTACCTCCGCAAATGAGCCGTAAAAGTCCACGAGTAGCAATAAACGTGTGCGGTCAAGCACCAACCACCCAAAACGCCTGTCAGAGAGAAGAAAGCGGGCCGAAAATTCCAAGTTGTAAACCAGACTTGAATTTCATTTTCTGGCATTTCATTCATAAATGTTATATTTATGAGCGTATAAAATCAGTATAACAGTATACCCCTCACAAAAATATCCGCCATCTTGTAAACACATTTCAATTTGTCGCATTAACTTAATTTCTCTGCATAAATTACAAACACCCATTTTAGGCCGTACGTTTTAATAGATTAATAGAAAGCTAATAACATAAATGTTTCAGGCAACAAAAAAGTAACAATAACATGTCCAGGCCAACCGCACGCATAAAACATTATAAAATGCGATCAAATGCACGCAGACCGCGGCGGTTTGTGCAGCGAACATAATAAACTCATGGTAGAAACTCATGTTCTGGTCATTGATGATGAATAGCGTCCATCGTGAGCTATAAGCGCACAAGCCATCAACGATACATCAAATCACCTAGCCACATGCACATAACCTATACATAACCTATACAACTGCACTTGTATGGAAGCAGTAATAATCTATAAATGTGCGCCACGGGCAATAGCACAATGCACGTAAATAAGAAAACTAAATCGCTTCTACATTTCCATCAAGTGCATTATATATTCTCAACCGGGTCACAAGATATTCTCTTGTAAAGTTAGTAATTTTACAATCTCATTAAGACGTTAGGACTATAGATGTTCATTAAATATGCTCTGAATAGAGAGAAAACTTTCGTAAATCTTTTAACTAGGCTCAGGTAGTGCTCGTAATTTTGATTATTATTTATTTTCTTTTACAGCGACTTTTATTCAACCGGGAAGTCATTAAGAAAATTTATGCTCGTAAATTTCCTAATTGATTTACGCACATAAACTTACAACGGACAAAAAGATATGCAACCCAGTTAACAATTTAATTACTAGTAAACTTGTATATTTAACAACGCGTTTGAAACAAAAAAGAAAATAATTTAATTACTAATTAACAAAATTTGAAAAAATCTAAGATGCATTTGGATAGTTATAATACGCAATTCTAATCCTAATGCAGTTCTCATTAGGATGATATTATACACGCTCGCGATGGTTAGTTGATGAGAAGAGAAAAAACGCATCGTAATGTGAACACGCAGGATTATTAGCTTTCAGCCGCTGGGCAACAAAATAATTGATGGCGTAACGCATTCTAATTGATGTTATCTTGCACCCGAGCAAGTAACAATCCAATCTCTTCAAGAATAAAATAAAATTCTTGGAAGCACCGAGAGTATCATCACCATATTATGATTTTATACTTTAATGCTTGTTTTAGAGTTTGCAATTAGTAGAGGATAAAACAACACGCTATAAAATGTTTCGTTACTTCGTTGCCAACTCAACATTTAATGCGTAATTGCGTGTAAGTATAATTATAGCCATTTGCTTAATGAAATTGACATTGATGCAAGTGATAAGATGCGAGAATGTTGTGCATTTGTAAACATTTAGCCGGACAAACCGCATTACGTGTTGCATAATATGCAGATGACATGCTATTAATACTATTATTTGCGATTAAACTTGTTGCGCTATTACATGGCACCTAGTATAATGTGATGTGCAGTACAGAGTGAAATTGAATATGAAATTCTATTGCGATAATGACAAAATAAATGTTTGACTTACACTTTGTTCGAGTGTAGTTGAAGATTCGCAATTTACACTTTAAATAACTGTGTAGGATGAGTTTCGAATAAGATATTTTTTTTCACCGGTTTAGAGACACAGAAAGTGGTACTTTAAACACGGACGGTTAAGGCCGTGACTAAAGTACTTTAGTCACAAATACGATAATTTCTTTAGTTTTGATTTATTATTCATAAATTAGAACATTCGTGTCTAATCGTAATCCCACGTCCTTTAAACAACCTTTTTAAATTTTATTTATCGCTATCGATAATGTTTACACGACGTGTCACGTATTCTAAACATAACGTTTGCAAAAATATATTTGTACTATTTTTATATGGCATAAGGAGTTTGGGTTTACTATATATTTTTTCACTCTGAAAAAATACGTTTTATTGATTTTATTGAATATTTTCCGATCTCTGCAAATATTGAAAGATGTTTAATATCGCTGTCAACGTTCATGAAATCGCCGATAACGTCGTCGACGATGAGTTTCAAGAGTGCACGACGCACTAAAAGCTTTTAGCTTTCAGCACGTGCTCAACTTTTTTCGAACTTTTCGCCCGATGCATAATGCATGTGGACAATGTCACAATGTCAACGGCAGCAAGCACACAATAACACCAGGGTAAAGAAACGTCAAGGATTGCACTTGCAGCAATCGTAAAAACGTATCGAATTACCGATAACCATAAATATCTACATGAAGGGCCAGAAAAACAACAAAAAATATAAACGCGCAGGGTGTAAGACAAACAAAATACAAAGTAATAAAAATATTAAAGTATAACTGTCTTAAAACATATTTTAATAATGTGTAAAATTTTGTGAATATTAAAACACTCTGTATATTAAAGTGCATATTGAAATGTTTGCTATTATCGTCCAGCTATAGAAATGGCCCATTATTGAATAGTCAGTCCGTTGCGTTGTGCGAGGCGCTGGAATATAGTTGCTAAACGTTCAATTTGTAAGCTCCGAGAAGCCCGTTTTGTGCGCGTAAATTTTTACGACGTATTCTCCTTCGTTCGGAGTTGTGACAAGACGCACGCACACGTCGCGCGATCGTTATTCTTCTTTATGAACATTATTTTATTTTAATCTCTCGCATACAAACATGCCACATACCAACAAGTAAAAAACAATCCATACATAAATACCACAGAGTTTTAATTGAATTAAATACAAGATAAACCATTAATTAAAGAAAATCAAACATGTTTTCCAAATGCGAAGACGTAGATATTAAAAATAGATTATGATCAACTAGCTATTGCCCGCGACTTCATCCCGGTAGTGTTTAATAAAAATGTAATACGATTTTACTCTCTTGTTCTAGACATAGTATGTGTCAATTCAATCAATAAGATTCGCAATTTTATTTTAAAGAAATTAATTATCTAAAGAATTGCTAATAATGCACTTGAGCGCGCCATCTCGAATTCAACTATTTAACTATAACTATGATTGAATCTTAATGTCAACTTTTATCCTATAGAAAAGGGCTGTTTTTAGGGTTTTCCCAGCAATTATTCGAAAGTTTCTCGCCGTAAAAACCATCCTTGGACTTTAACGAACCTTTTAAAAAAAGAATTGGCCAAATTGGTCTAGACGTTGTTGAGTTATGCGCTTACAAACAGATTTTGCGATTCATTTTTATATTTTAGAAGATGTCGAGTAGATCCGTTAAGGAAGATATATCTAATGGTACTAATGTCACTGCCAAAACAAGATATTTCGTGACATATTTTAAGACATAAACCAATAGTGTTGGCTTAGAATTGAAGAACAAGTAACAAGTAACGTGTAGCAAGTGTCAAAGAAGCAGTACACAAGTTCACGAGTGCGGATGAGGACACTGAACATGAACATGAACACACTTTGAACGCCATTAAGCCTCAATGATTCGCCGGCAGTAGGCCTGCTGTATGAATATTAAACACGCACGCGCAAGCCACAAAGCTTAATTCGAAATTAAGTAGCCGTCATCAAACGACATCATGTGCGAGCAACGACACAGCAAGACATCGCCAACAGTACATAACATTTCACATTTACATACAGTGTTTATGCGCTGACGACGCATTAACACTCACTTTATAATAGTTGGCACTTAATTTCAATTAAGTAGGTATGGGCAATAAGTAATAACTATGAGTTTGGTCATCTAGGAGGCCACAAGAGTGAATATTAATAGTTTTATGGTAAAAGTTGGTTATATTTTAGATTTTCAAATTAAAAAATACAGCGTGGTTTATATTACGATATTAATAAATTATAATTATAAATATAAGTTAAGATAAAACTTTTAAGGCAAACCAAAACTTATTTTTTAAAATGTGGTCGTAGTATGATGGAATTTGTTCATAAATATACCTGTATTTCCAAATTTGTGCAAATATTAAAGCAAGATCTCTAGTAATAACTAAAAACATTAACCAAATGACATTAATATTAATATTACTATTATTCCACGTAGTTTATTACATACTTCTTGTTATTGATGTTGAAATGTACAACTTGAAACTCGTTTTGACTCTGACTCTGAAGTCTAGGTTGACAAATAGGCCCCGAGAAAGTTCCGTTCCGTTTGAACTAATTTATATATCTGGACTGCTCCTTTGTTGCTTTGTTGCACGCAGCGTGCTCTCGTTTCGTTGTGTTTAAGTTTAAGTTTTAGTTATTTAGTCAACTTTGCCCGTCGGCGAGTGCAACACCGATTTTATTTTACTGCTAGGTCACAAAAGCACCACGAAAACACAAACTTGAATATGTATATCCTTGTATATAGTATATAGTCAAGACAACAAAAGAAGATTCTAATAATAATAATACTAATAATATGGTTGAACTTCATTTGATAAAGCGGATATTAAAAATGACTTGACAAATTTATTATAAGTATATTTATAACTATCGTGGTAATATCTTTGGCGGTGAGATCAACAATCAAACGCAACGAGAAGAAAAGAAAATCGAAATCGAATTCGCCGTT